GCTCGATTATCCGGTCATGGGACAGGTGCCGACGGTGCATGCCTGGGGCAGGAGTGATCACGTGAGGCAGGGCTCCAAGGAGCTGGCGGATGTGTGTGACGGTGCGGATACCTTGGTCATGGATTTCGAGGGCGGCCATCATCTGCCCCTGACGGATGGCGAGGCGGACGAGCTCTGTGGCTTGATTGTTGACGCGTGGCATGCCGGGGGTGGCAAGGATCAGAAGGGCTTGGTCAATAGATTAGGGGTCAGGGTTGAGTAGATGTCGATGGAATATGCATGTTTTGGTGTTCTCTCTCATGCCAACGTGCTTGTGCATGTACCTGTACCTGTACCTGTACCTGTACCTGTACCTGTACCTGTACCTGTACCTGTACCTGTTGTGAACTGGTCGCTCTCAGGTGCCTGGGCGAGTAACACGTCGGCAGGCTCCTGTGACGTTTGGACGATGCAGCATCTGAACCGGGTTTACTGTGAGGACTCCTTGCCGAAGAGGCGAAACTCTTTGCGCATAGACGACCAGGGGCGGGAGTGGACATCAATTTCGTATTTACTGGGTGGTATAGATATCCTCTTCACTAGATCTTCCTCCTGATAACCCGCTCCGATCCAGTGCAAATCAGATAAGCCGAAAGAGGTCGAGCTTGACGGTCCCCATCTGTGACACCACCTCTCTCTCTCTCTCTCTCTCTTCGCCATATATTCTTCTCCCTCTTCTCCATCAGACCGCCCGAAACCCCTGCCACCGGCCGCACATAGTTCTGCTAGGAGCCATCTCCCCAGATACCCACCACGCCCATGGCGAACCCGAGCCCGCTAACCAACGCCCTCACCGCCTGCACCCTCCTCTCCCTGCTCATCTCCATCTCCACCTTCTCACCATTGACGCTCGCCTCATCCTCATCTCCCACCATGACATACGATCTCGCACCCCGATCGGAAGAAGCGCTCTTCCTCAGCGTCGGAAACCGGTCCAATCCGTTGTAATAATACTCCAGCCCCTGGCCGGCCAGGAAGGCCATCAACGCGGTCCAGAGCAGGTATGGATGCTTACCCCGGGCCGAAGCGAGGCTGTAGCACGTGATGAGCGAGAGGGAGGAGACGGATGCGAAAGTGAGGACGTGGCGGGTGGTGGCGGTCTGGATCTGGGCGAGGGTGCGCGAGGCGGACGAGGCGGTGTCGGGAGGAGCGCGAGAGACGGGAGCGTGATGGCGGAGATGTTGTACGAGATGCCCTGGGGCTGGCACGTCAGTAGGGTGACAAGCGTTGTGGTTGGGAAATCGGGTGGCATGTTTCTTTAGACGCAGTATTAGAATGATGGTTGCTGCTGCTACTTACGGTGAGGAGACCGAGGGATATGGTCCCGACGAACTTGGTGACGCTGATCGGGCACACCATTTTGACGGGTGCGGGAGCGGGAGATGAGGAGATGTCGATGTCAAGATCAATATGCGCTCTCAAGAGCTGGGTGCTAGGAATGTGTTCTTTGCGCACAGGGTGGTGTGATAGGGTAGTAGGTGGTAAGGTAAGTAATGGAAGCTTCACGATGAAAGCAAGGTCGCTCCTAACTAAGTTAGTACTCACTCTACTCCGTACTTAGGCGGCGCTAACAGTCCCCAAATGACTTCACGGGTGCAAGTATAAGTAAGCATGTAGGAGAATACCATCAAGTCTGGCAATCTCATTCCATACCCAGGCATACTACTATGTCAAAGCCAGCTACTAGATTCGTGCATCATACTTCGTACACTCACTTCATACACTTGATGAAATTCCCAAGCCAAACAGTCTATTCGGAGCAACTGTCCTTTCCACCGCCGTCTCTCTCTCGCATGCATCCATGATCCGGATCCGTGCCTCGGCTTGCCCGCCCTGCCTCGATCCGTTGCCGGGAGGAGTTGACACTGCGCTTCGATCCAGTGATAGGATCATGCCCATTTCAGCTCGTTGAAACATCTTTTTGATTATACATGCCACTTCCCTCTCATCGTTGTTCTACTCTTCCCTTGCATCACTTCTCAAGTGTTCCTTTAATTGTTTTCCGAGCACGGTGCATCGCCATTGGATCTCCACTGGAGCTTCGGGAGTACATAGCAGGACCAATCCGTTTCTTGTGGGTGCATCATCCGCAGAGGTTCTGGATCGAATTACCGGGCAAGTCAACCGTCAAGCAACTCCGTGGGCACAACGTCGCTACACCTCCATGGCGATGAAAAGGTCAGACTACCTCAGCGAGGTCTGGAGGGAGGGCATCTTCAGTGAGCCTGACCACTTCGAAGCACCTGGAAAATTTGCTAACCTCTACAGACAACAAGGTCGTCTTCTGCACAGGCGGTAACGGCACCATCTGCAGTGCTCAGGTTCGAGCAATGGTCCATCTCGGAGCCAACGCTTGCATCGTGGGCCGGAATGTTGAGAAGACCGAATCCATGGCCAGATCCCTGATGACTGCTCGGGAAGGCTCCAAAGTACTTGGAATCGGCTCAGTCGATGTCCGAAATCCAGAGAGTCTGAACCAAGCGGTGGAGAGCTGCGTGAAGGAGCTAGGAGGCATAGATTTCTGCATGTAAGAAAACCCATCCCTCAATAATCCACGTCAACATAACACTCAAAAATCCTAACCATTCCTCTCCCTCCCCCCAGCGCCGGCGCAGCAGGCAATTTCCTGTCCCCACTCTCCCATCTCTCCGCCAACGCCTTCAAATCCGTCATCGACATCGACGTGCTCGGCTCCTATAACACCGCCAAAGCCGTGCTGCCCCACCTCGTAAAATCCGCCTCCACCTCCACCTCCGGCGGCCGCCTCATCTTCGTCTCCGCCACCATCCACTACACCGGCGCGCCCCTGCAGACGCACGTCGCGGTCGCCAAGGCGGGCGTCGACGCGCTCTCGGCCAACGTGGCGATCGAGTACGGTCCCCGCGGCCTGACGTCCAACGTCATCGCCCCGGGTCCCATCGCGGCCACGGAGGGCATGGAGCGGCTGAGCCGCGGCGAGGATGCCCAGGCGAGCAGGAAGCGGATCCCGGCCGTGGGGGACGGTCAAGGAGGTGGCCGATGCCACGGTCTGGTTGTTTAGTGATGCAGCCAACTTTGTGAATGGGTCGGTGGTGGTGGTGGACGGGGGGGGGCGTGGAGGACGAGTAGTGTAGGGGCTGGAGGGAGGGGCATGGAGTATCCGGACTTTTTGTTGGGTGGGGCAAGGGTCGAAGGGGTCAAGGGGTTGAAGAAGGAGAAGGCGAAGTTGTGATGAAAGGATGCACAGTGCACTGTGGTTTTGTTAATGTTTTAAGAAACGGTATACGGTATTCGGTCTGCGGGAGTGCTGGTTGTGTTGGAGATGGCTTTTACTCCGTGGATCTGCACATGCGTACATGCATATGATCAAACAAATGCCAAAGCCATCATGGTCATTAGCAAGGTCATATACACAGCAATCCAGGCTCGAGCCAAATGAGAGTTACGAGTACAACGCCAGTGCCCATATAAGCGTCCCCACCGCCGCAACACCAGTAGTCCGTCTGAGCTGTATCCTTTACTTCTGCTCAACCACGACAATATCGACATGCTCATACTGGGGAGGCATCTCTCCACTCTCCATCAACGCATCTTTTTCATCGGCCTCAACTACAGTTTCGCTGATCTGGGAGACATGATCGCGTCTTGAACGACGGTTCAACAAAGATGCCAGAGCTTGGCCAACCAGCATGCCAAGGGCACATGCGAGAAGGCCACCAATGACGCCGAAGATGGCGGGTAGAACGAAGAAGTGGACCGTCTGCTCGACGAAATGGCGGAAGCGGCCATGTCCGTGATGTCCGTGATGCAGACGACGGTGTGGTTTCATGCAATCTTTGGGCTCGGCATTCATGTTTTCGATGTGCTCGGCATTCACGTGGTCTTTGTGCTCAGCATCTGCCTTGGGGTGTTTCCAGCCGGAGCAGGTGTTCTTGATCCAGGTCTTGGCTTGGCCGGCGTGGGCTTTTGCGGACTGAACCATCTTTCGAAGACGGCTGGCTATGATGGCTCGAAGACGGCAGATGGAGGTGGTGCATACATTGGCGCCTGGTGACTCGGCATAGGGGAGACGGGTCACCCTGGCAATGTGCATGTGTCCCCAGGATTGCATCAGGTCGATCTTGACGGTTTCGACATTGACCGAAACACCTTCAAGGTCAAGTACTGTGAGCTGGATGGGTGTGAGAGCAACATCGCTGACTTCGGTCATGGCGGGGAGAACTTCCAGAGCATAGCCGAGGCGGAGAGGTTGAGATTGAGATTGATCAGAGGTGCGGATTTCAGGTGCCTTCAAGGCCACTGGGACGAGGGTTCGAGGAGGGGGATAGACTGGTTGTCCATTGATCTGGAGGAATTGATCATCATCGGTAATGTCGAGTTCGAGGTGCTACAAGAGGAGTCAGTCGAGTTGAGCCCAAACCAGAAACAGTGTCTGATCATACAATCTTGACCGAATCATCACCTTGAATCCACACTGAGCCATCGCCATCAGAACCGGCGAAGGGGCACTGTGGGCAGTCTAGCTCGACGACTTGGTGTTTCATCTCTTGGTCCATCTGAGCAATTCCAGCGTCTCGAGATACTTCTAAGGGAACGAGGAAGGCAGACGTCTGCAGGGCGAGGGCGCCCGCAGCGAGTAAGGACATTGAAAACATCGTGTATTATGTATCGATATGATAGAGAGGGAAATAGTAGTAGTTGCAGGTGGCAATGGGGTTGGGGTTGGTGGTACTTGGGCGTGAAGTTGAAGGGGAGGGTGAGGGTGATGCTGAGGGTGAGGGTGATGTTGCCTGTTGGTTGACGCTGGACGCTGGACGCTGGACGCCGGACGCTAATTGTGGCGGAGCTGGCGTTACAGAATGACGCAAAAAGTTTAGCGTCGGCACACCGGCTCCATGCAGCTGCCAGCTGTCAATATTGGCAATCGGCAGAATAGAAAATCCGACGTGTCCAGCTTCCTTTCTTTTTCTTCTCTCTTCTTTCTTCTTTCTTGCATTCTCTATCCTCTCCCCCTACATCATTTCCATCCAGCATGTGTCACCTGTAGCTTACAAGCTTTTATATGTACGGCCAGCTGGGACGAATAATTCCAAGGGCACGGTGAGCTGGGCCAGCGACATGGGCCTGTCCCAGCTGCACTTTTCATCTATTGCTATTGAAATGAGGCAAAGCACGTAGGCTTCTGCAATGGTTACTACACTGTTCGACAATGTCCCTGCTGGGGCTGGTCTGCCGACTTGGTCTGCCGATTTGGTCAATTCTTCGGTCGAGAAGATCTTCTGTTCCATCGGCCAGTACTCTGTACTACGTAGTATATCAGTTGTGGCGCATTTACCTCGTTGGCATGTTTTCTCCATCTTGCCGCTGCTCCTCCTTTTATCGGAGCAATTACGGAGTAGTGCTTCACCATTCAGGGTCACATAAAGCGTCTGCATGAAATTTGCCGCCAAATCTCTCGAATTCCGTAGGTATATTTCGATGTTTTGCCGTCTTGGGCAGTCATCAGTCCGAACAATGGGATTGTTCAATACTTTTTCCTAATGCGGGCTTGCCGCATCCGGTACTATCTGCTGCTCTCGATCCAACGAGACAATGAACACATATTTCCGTACTTCTTATCCCGGCGCGGTGTTCTGCTTCATCTTATTCCCCAATCTTCAAACACTCGTGTACCCCAGTTCCCTGGACGACGACAATAACACCGTCAGACTTCATGGACGATTCGATGGCTGAACAGGGAGATCTTCCCTTCTGTGACTATACTCCACCACTCTTGTTTTCACAACTGGCCCAAGAGCCACCACCTCAGCAGCAACAGCAGCAGCTTCAGCGAGCGGGTGACCAGGGTCATGAATTGTCTTCGGACACAAATTTTCCGGTTCCTGAGTTTACTCGACCCTCTCTGCCGCAAATGCTTCGACAGCGGCCTTCGAGAGATTTTCTGGATCCCGACATTCATGAGTATGCTCAATCCGCAATCTCCAGGTCCGAGCAGGCGGAACGTCAAAATCCTCCACGACTCCATCAACAGCGTGAGGAACCCCCCCAGCCACCTTCCAAGAAGCCGCGGCTGCGGTCCAAAAGAAGTCTTTCACTGTCTGATGTGCTATCACAGCAGAATAAGCAGCAGTCTGAAGAGATGTCTCCTCAAGGCTTGCTACCCCGGCCCAAGTCCGTCGTAGAATCTCGAACCCGTGGATCCACGTCTCTCAAACTCAAGCAAGCAGTCCAGAGAGTCCGCTCCAAGAAAGAGAGCAAACCGCGTCCGGGACTCCCTCAAACGGCCGCCCAGCTCGAGAACTCATGGGCGAGGATGTACGTTGAAAATGCCGAACTCAAGCGCTTACTTAAGAAGAAGGAATCCGCCATCAAGAAGAAAGAATCCCAAGTCCAGAACAACGAAGCCCTCCTCGAAGAAGCCACTGACACCGTGGCCCACCTCCAACACGAAAACATGCAGCTACATCGCCGCACCGCCCGGACCACTCCGCAGCTCCGAGACCTCGAAGGCGCCCTCAGCGATAACATGTCGCAGTTCTCTCTGATGCAGGAAGAAATCGACGACGAATCCGCGCGCAACACCGACCTCATTCAAAGGTACGCCGCCGCGAGACGCGAAGCGACCGATCTGCGCTGCCTGAATAACACCCTCATCAACAATCTCAGCGAAGAGCGCAAAAAGGTAACCAAGCTGGAAGCGCAACTCGACCGGATGAAACTCGGACTCGACAGCGTCGTGGAAGAACGCCTCCGCTTCGCCGTGCTGGAAGCCGAGAACGAAGCGCTGCGCAACGACCTGACGCTTGGAATGGAGCAAATGATGGATTTGGCCCGGATCCAGCAACAGATGAGTATTGACCTCAATAGCGAGGATGCTGATGCCAAGGATGATTTGCGGAGGGAGGAGGAGGAGAAGCTGGAGTTTAGCGATCCGTATAACGTGCCCAAAGAGATCAAGATGGGATTTCGTAGGGACAGTATCTGGGACAGCTTGCAGG